GTTTAACGATTCTGGCCTGTCGTTAGGTCCGGTGAGTCGAAAATTTTCGCGCACGTTACTATTAATTTCCATTCTGTCCATCCTGTCTTGTAGTCCGTTAATTACTACTATTAAACGGTCCAGAATTTCGTCCTGTCTATTTCTTATTGACGGTTCGACAGTTCCCCTTAAACGTCCTATTTCCGCGTCTATTTCCGCGTTGGCTATCGGCGGGTTATTCCCGGCGTTACCGTCTCCACGCGGCGTCTGAGGCGGATGCGTTGCCATTACGCTAGGGGCGGAATTAGCTAGAGTGGGTACGAATAAATCGCTTTCAAATGATAACAACGAGGGCTCTCGTTGCTCGCGCCTATCGTTCCCTAATAAGCTTTGGTCGACTTCCTCGAATGGGAATACACGCTGTATAACGAGGTTCGGAGGTTGTTCCGAATCCGACGCGCTATCGCTCGAGTATTGAGTGTCCAAGACACGGCGCGCGTTGTCACGTATATCGCGTAAAGCTTCTCCGATTATATGCACGGGACTTATCTGACTAACATGTGGCCGTCTTGGTACGGGCTCACTTAGTATCCGCGCGGTTGGAGCGTTAGGACTATCGCTATTATTTTCGCCTTCGAACATTAGTTCGATTACATTGGCGATTTAATATAATTTTTCGGACTTACATTAACGCTGCTAATCGCATGTCGCTTTGTAGTCGGTTGCTCGTTGCTCGAAGCTGCTGAGTCACGCTTGCGGTAGGTCGCCTCTCGGGTTACGCTGCTATCTGCGTCCTGGTCGTCGGCTGCTATACCGGGTGCTCGCTTTTGTTTTTTGGTGTGCTGGCTTCTGCGTTGCCTCCTTGGGTCGCTCCTTCGCCTATTTATTTGGTACACCTTATTTGCAGGCTGTTTGCTGCCGTCGCTGCTCTCGGGTCCTGGAGTCAGCTGTGTGGATCCCACCGCTGCCACCAATTTGTTGTGCCGCTATTTGCGACACGGGATTCGGGATCCACCAAGGATTCGGGAGCAGCCAATAATTATTAATCACTTTTAGTTTTTGTAACTTTTATATATTAACAATAAACTTTATTCAATTCACTTTAATACACAAAGATATTATTTCACATAAATCACTTACACTACGCGTGTTGCGATATAACTTTAAGATCGTATTCGAGCAGAGTGACGCACTACAACTTGTTAAAATTACTGACTCCACTCTGCTTCGGTCTTCTCATATTTATTGAGGTCTGCGACCTTCTAATTCGGCGCTTCTCGTCAGCGTTCCGATAATCGGTCGAGGGCGTGATCGCGTAATCGCGTCGCGCTCGCGGTTTTAATATTATAATAAACTTATTTCGCCGCGCGTTCCGGTAATCGGTCGAGGGCGTGATCGCGCAATCGAGTTGCGTTCGTGATTCGTATTTATATTATTCTTAATTCGATTCGTAATTTATATTATTCTTAATATATTATTTCTTGGTTATGGCGCAATTGTCACTTGTGCAATTTAGCACTCGTGACAATACGTAGTGCTGTGTAAACTGGTAAGGATCTTGTAGGCGAAAATATATGTACGAGAGGACGATGATCGGTGTATAACGTAAAATAATTCCCGTATAAATACTGATGAAATTTCTTAATTCCAAAAATGATTGCATATGCCTCTTTGTCAATCTGTGCGTAACTCCGCTGGGTGCTCGACAATGACTGAGACGCGTATTGAATAACCCGCTCCGTACCATCAGGGTAACGGTGGGATAACACTACACCGACGCCATAAGGACTAGCGTCAGTCGCCAGTATCAGCGGCAACTTTGAATCGAAATGTGCAAGTATCGTATTACTTTTGAAATTCTCTTTTACTAATTGAAAAGCTTGCTCGCATTGCCGAGTCCATTTGAAAACAACTCCTTTTTGTAATAATGTATGTAATGGAGCTAAAATTGAACTTAAATTCTTAATGAAACGACCGTAATAATTAATCATACCTAAGAAAGAATGTAATTCTGTAATGTTGCTTGGTCGAGGCATCTGATTAATTGCATCCATTTTATCCGTAGTCTTATGTACCCCGTTTTTGTCAATTTTGTAACCGCAATAATGTATTGAATCTTTGAAAAATTCACTTTTGTACTCGTTTATTCTAATATTCGCATCGGCTAAACGCTGTAAAACTAATTCAAGACGACGTAAATGAGACTCATCGTCAGATCCCGTAATCCTAATATCGTCAAGAAAAACCGGTACTCTCGGAATATCCTGCAGCAAATTTTCCATTACACGTTGTCATATTGCTGGCGCCGAAGCTACGTCAAACATAAGTCTTGTACATCTGTAAAGACCCTTGTATTTAATGTAAGTAAATCGCGATCTGCCTCTTGTATTCCCAATTGTAAGTACGCTTGTTGTAAATCAATCTTTGTAAATTTAATGCCTCCCAACATGGATGAAAATAATTCGTCAACTGTAGGCAGCGGATGCTCATCGATTAACAAATTTGGATTAATCGTGACACTAAAATCACCACAAATACGGATTCGGTTATTTTTCTTAAGCACGGAAACGATGGATGTAGCCCACCGCGATGTATTAACCTTTTCCAGAACACCGTCTTGTTCCAGAGCTCCGTAACTCTTGTTCCACTAGCGGTAGCAATTTGAAAGGAACTGGTCGAGCTTTTAGAAAAATCGGATTTGTATTTTCCTTGATAGTTAAACTCGCTTCGATACCACGTATTTTGGAAGATGAAGGATTCAACTTTGCCCGATAACTCTGTAATAACTCTGTAACTCGAGTCTGTGTATCAACGCGTATAGAATTTAATGCATTAATTGAATCCGTCAAAGGCAATTGTAAAAGTATAGAACGATTTAACCGGCTTCTTTTTCTTCTTCTTCTCAGCGTTGTTTGTCCCGGCACCGATGTACTCGACGGCCGCCGTCCCTGATTGTAGTTGCTGTGTATCCTTTTCGGAAAGTTCCAATGCTGTAGCAATTTGTACTGCCTTCTCGAAGGTTAGGTCTCTTGTTTCCAATAATCTGGCTTGACCCCGCCGACTGGTCAGACCAAAAACTAATTGGTTCCTCAGTGCTGTTTTCAGGTATGCACCGAAATTGCAATGTACACTCAATTTATGTAACGCAGCCACGAAGTCCTTGATTGACTCGCCTTCCTTTTGTTTCCGTTGGTAAAATCAGAAATTTTCGGCGATCTCTAAAGGATCTGGGGCATAGAACTCGCCTAAATTCGTGATCAAGGTATCGAAAGTTGTAGTGTATGGGTCCACAGGCGCCAACTTATTGCAAATAACGTCGAACGCAACTGACTCGATATAATGTAGCAAATATAACGACTTCTGATCCTCCGGAATTTTGAAAATTTTAACGGCCGCCAAATATCTTTGCAGCCAACGCTTCCACTCAGTAGTGGATGGATCAAAAGAATCAATGGCAAAAGTTCCGTTGTAGTACAACCTCCGCCATATTGTGTAAAATTACTGGATCTCGAATTTCTGACTCTATTCGCTTTTGTACTCACACTCTAATCGTGTTAATCTAACCCTTAAGGATAGCTGCTATCCCATCCTCGTCGCCAATTCTCTATAGTGTAGGTTGGGGTGTAAAATAGAGTCGATACAGCTATTTACTGAGTCCAGATATATTTCGAATCACACGTGCGTGCGTCCGATCGAACCATCTCCATAAATCCGTCTAACGAGCGAACGGTCGAACAAAGAACGAACAAGAAGTAATACAACAGCGCCGCTCGATGTGCACACGCAACGCCAGTCGGTTACGCATACTCGCGGTGTACTTGAATTGAAAATAATGCACATCCATAACAGTATCTCTCTGCACCACTACTTTTATCTTTCATATTATCTTTCTTTTTTGAATAACGTAATTTCAGATATTTCCACTTTTCACGACATTGACTTGAAGAATATTGAAAATTGTTACTTTGCATTTCATCCGCAACTAATTTCCAGGCAGCTTCTCTTTTCATAGTCGTTGATGTCAATTGTTTTTTAAATTTTCCGTAGCATGATATCAAATGTAATATTGCATTTCTTGTCCATTTATCTTTGCTGGTGTGATCATAATTAGTACTTGAAGCACTAGATGTATTCGCAGTATTTGGATCAACATTTTCTTGGTCCTTTTAATCAAAATTATTTGATAAGATTACAGAAGTATTAATAGATTGAAGACAAAATATTTGCTTGACGGAGTCTGTTACTTCAATAGTAAAACAACAACCATCTGCAAGATAAAGAAAATTTTTTTAATACAATATTATACATTACTTAAAATGATCTTAAAATAAAAATTAATTATGAATACCGGTTAATGCAAAATTTTTGACAACTACAGGAAATTTTAAAAAAATATGCTAACCGACTAAATCAAGTTATATTAAATAGGAAGATTTATAAATTTTTTACATACCACTTTTTCTTTGAATATAAACAATCCGTTTTCTGCATATAATGGGTTACCATATTTTCCCATTCGTACAACTTCAAAATCAGTAGCATTTAATACTAAATTTTCCATTTTTTCGGAATTGGTAAAGGTATAGAATACCCCGCTCCTCTCGAATTTTGATAAAAATATACTCAATCGATGCGTTTTTGCATGAAACGAAAGAATCTGGCAGAAAAAAGTGTCGCTTTGTCCTACGAACCAAGATATTTACCGTTAAAGTTGACGATTATGGAGATTAGGAAATGTGTCACAGCCGCGAAATACTGGCCTTATTCATTAGGTACGTGATTTTACTGCGAAATACGCATTGCGCATGCTTGGCAATTTTTACCCAATTGAAAAGTAGGTTAACAATAGAGTGATCTTAGAGTGATCAAAAACGTTTCTGAACGCTTTAGGTAAATTATACCTGAAGTTTCTGAACGCCTTAGGCGCACACTAGAGCACTCCAGAGTTACCTAGGTGTAATTTCTGAACGCACCCCTATATTCTCACTGTCATCGACGTGCTGAGTAAGCATGCATAGGCCATGCTGCTCAAAGCCAAGAGCGGGAACGAGGTGACGCGGGCAATTGCAAAGATAATTCGAGATGACCGAAGATGTCCGAAAAATTTGCAGACTAACAAAGGAAAAGAATTTTATTCGGATGTGCAGAAACTCTTAAAGAAGCACAACATCAATCATTATTTTACGTATTCCGTAATGAAGGCATCGGTCGTCGAACGATTCAATCGTACATTGAAGAATGACATGTGGAAACAGTTTACATACATCGGAAACTATAAATAGATCGAAATGCTGCCGCGTCTCGTGTCGGATTACAATGCGCGTAAGCATCGCACTATTGGCATGCGACCCGCTGACGTAACTCCCGCGATCGCTGAAAGACTTTTGGGTAAGGTGTATAGTGCGATAAAGATCGCGGGTCCCGCAAAATTCAAAGCGGGTGATGCGGTACGCGTATACAAATTCAAGACAATATTTGAAAAAGGTTTCACACCGAATTGGACCACGGAGGTCTTTAAAATTGTCAAAGTGCAGCAAACTAATCCAGTGACGTATCTACTGGAGGATTTCCGCGGAGAGCTCATTGCTGGAGGATTCTACGAATACGAACTGCATCGCGTCCCTAATCCCGACGTGTATCTCGTTGAAAAAGTGTTGCGCAAAAGAGGAAACGAGGTTTATGTGAAATGGTTGAGACTTGACAAATCACACAATTCGTGGATTCATAAAGACAATGTATTATAGAATTATAAATTATACATTATAAAAATTATACATTATATAAATTATACATTATAAAATTATACGTTATATGAATTATATTACACATTAAAGTATATTAAATATCCTTTACAAATATAAAACAAATTGATTAAAAATAAGATAAAAGAGCCAATAATTTTTTAAAAAAGATATACATATAAATGTAATTAACTCAAAATCGCAATACATTAAACAAACAGTGTAAAATTCGTAAGTAAGAATTCGCACATACGTTTCGACACCGATCGGGTCATTTTCAATGTTAAATTTAAAATTAAGTGTGTATAATAGAATTAACGAATCAACAATAATAAAATTACATGTGTATAATTATAATCTATCTCTAAAGATCTAAGAGGTATACTATCTTTACACTTATTTAATTCTAATGACATGTATCATTTGTGTAAAATATTTGATATCAACAGTCGGCATCAAATTAAACCGTTTGGGCCAGTTAAATTCTAAAATAAAAAGTAAAACACAAGTGGTACCTTTAATCTTTAAGAACCCATATAGTACTATTATTTAAATTCTACTAAATTAAAAAGTAAAACCCATGAGGTATCATCTTTATCTTTATACAATAAAACCTAAGTATATGCCTATAAACTTACCTTTTTTAAAAAAAAGGTAGAAAAAAGCGCTAAGAGTGGGTACTGCTGGTCAAAAAACCATTTGGGCCAGTTTCACCAACGTCAACTACTTAATCGACTGTGAAACTGACCAATCACATTTGCTGTTTAGTAGAACCATCTTTAAAAACCTACATGATTTTATCCTTACTTACTTAATTCTAATGACATGTATCATTTGTATAAAAGATTTGATATCAATAGTCGGCGCCAAGTTATTCTACCTTATTACTTACTTAATTTTAATGACATTTATCATTTGTATAAAAGATTTGATATCAACAGTCGGCGCCAAGTTAAATTCTACCAAATTAAAGAGTAAAACACAAGTGGTACCTTTAATCTTTAAGAACCCATATAGTACTATTATTTAAATTCCACTAAATTAAAAAGTAAAACCTAAATGGAATTATCTTTATTTTCATACAATGAAACCTAAGCATATGCCTTTGTATTCTTATTAAAAGATCTTGCTATTCGAAACCAAGTGACTTAATTCTTCTTTAAAAAAATTATATCACAATTAATTTAAAA